CAGGCCACACCAACCACAGGCAAGGGCACAGAATTCTCATAGAAATTTGCTGGCTGCCTGCCCTCACTGCTCTCTCCCTGGCTTCCCTATCCCCAGCATCCCTTCTCTTTGACCTTGTTTTGGGAGGACAGTCAATCTGGGAAATCTCCCACCTCTTCCCCAGACCTTGCTTTCCCGTTAAGACCCTAAACAACTGGGGAGCTCCTAATCCACTCTCCTATCTCACATCTGCAAGGCACCTGCTCAGGGCAGACAGATGTGTGACGTGCTACGCTGAACTGCAAGTGTGGAGCCACGGTGGTGGTGCAGGGCAGCCCTGCAGAGCTGGATGCTGGACAGGAGGGAGGGAGCAGAAGTTCAAACAGCATGTGGACCATGCTCCCCACTGGGGTCACCTCTAGGCCAGGCTGCAGCTGCAGGCTCTTTGAGGGCTCAAAGTAAAAGTAGAGCCTTCAAAATAGGGAAAAGAAGCCCCTTTCACCACTGCCAGGATAGGAAGGGCAGGGCCTGTGCTCCTTTGGCTTCTTGGTCTTGTGGTTCTGCTTCCTGGGGAGAGGCCAGCCGACAGGGTGGTCACCTGTGCCCCTGGCCGGCTATGTTCCAGGTTTACAGCATCATCTCCGTCCAGCTGCTCATCACGGTGGCCATCATTGCTATCTTCACCTTTGTGTGAGTGTCTGGGCCTCGCTGACCCTTCCTTCCACCCTGGGGAGTTCTGGATCAGCTGCCTGTCTTGGGGGTGCTTGGCGGGGAGGCAGCCAAGCCCTGGAATGACTCTTCTCCTCTTCCTCAACTCCACAGGGAGCCAGTTAGCCAATTCGTGAGGAGGAATGTGGCTGTGTACTACGTGTCCTAGTGAGTGTGCCTGGCTCTACTCAAGGCGAGGGGAGGAGGTGGCTGGCAGTGTTTCCAGTTGACCGGCTCTACTCAGGGCATGGATCAAAATGCCTTTTTTTTTTTTTAATATTTTTTTGGATGTTGATCAATCTTTATTTACTCACTTATTTATATGTGGTGCTGGGATTTGAACCCAGTGCCTCACACATGCTATGCAAGTGCTCCACCACTGAGCCACAACCACAGCTCCTCAAAATGTTTTTTGAGAGGGGCCTTCCCAGTGGCCAGTGCCATTCTCCCATGCTGGGGTGTGCACCCTGGTGAGGAGTCACAGAATCACATAGCACGTGGTGGGGCGGGGGGTGGGGCAGCAGACGATGGTGACAGTCTGCATGGAAGTGCCCAGGTTCTCACAGCCAGTTTCTACGGCCCGCACGTGTGTTACAGAACTGCTCAGGGTCCCTGGCTTGGTAGTTCTGCCCTAACTCCTCCTGAGTAGCTTCCCCTCAGACCCAAGCAGCTTCCTAGGCCTCCAAGCCCTGGGCCAGCTGAGTGCTGCCAGGCTGGGCTGAGAAACGGCCAAGGGTAGCTCTGGCCACAGACCAGGTCCCATCTCTTCTTCCCCAGTGCTGTCTTCATCGTCACCTACCTGACCCTTGCCTGCTGCCAGGGACCCAGGTGAGTTCCAGAGCCTTAGACAATGAGGAGAGAAAGGGGTGGGACAGGAGCGAGTATTTTGGGAAGAAAATGGATTCCTTGTAGTGGTCGAATGGAGACTTACAAGAAGTGCTGTGGTGGTGGTGGTGGTGGTGATGATGATGATGATGATGTCGGTGACTACCGTTCAGAGGTTTACATAGCACTGTCTGAGATATATTTAGCTATCATTTTTACAGCAACCCTGCAAGATATGTAGAATTTTAACCATTTAATAAACAGGAAAGAGAAAAGGAAAAAGGCAGTGTGGGGAGGGGGGAAGGGAAAAGAAAAATGAGAGGGAAAAAAAGAACCCCAAACCAAACAGGAAGAACTCAAGGCTCAGAGAGGCTGGACAACTTTCTCACAGTCACACAGGTAGTCTGAGTAATAGTGGCAAACAGTTTCAGGTCTTTCTGGCTCCATAGCACAGGTCCACTCCACTGCTCCATGTTGTCCTTTTGAACCCCCTGAGCAGGTACCAAAGCTATGCCAGCCTTCCCTTCCCCAGAGCAGGGCTTGTCCCTGCAGGCACAGGAGCCAGGTGCTCCCTTGTGCTGAGGGAACCTCTAGGATCTGACTTCCCTAAGTCATGTAACCAGGCCTTTTCTTCTCCCTAAGGCGCCGGTTCCCATGGAACATCATCCTGCTGGCTCTCTTTGTAAGTCTAGAAGGGTAGTCCCAGGGAAGGGAAAGAGATATCACTGGGGAAGGATGTCCCTGGCTTTCTCCCCCTTCTTATCCTTACTGCTAGCTCTGGGTCCCCTCTGTGGCTGCATCTTTCCAGCTCAGTCGAATCTACTCCCAGCTCTGGAAGGCCACTGTGGTCATCCCCCAGTGCCTTTGCATGTGCTGGGCAAGTGCTCTACAACTGAACTTCACCCAGTGCCTGCCGTTCTTAAGTGTCTTCTTTGTTTCTCTCCCTCAGACTTTTGCCATGGGCTTTATGACAGGCACCATTTCCAGGTACATGCAAGGGCAATCTACCACCTTCATGTGAAGTGTGTATTCTTGGGGAGCAGGTGTTCCTGGGCTGGTGGTCATCTGTGGGGATGGGTTCTGGGTGGAATCTTCTGGAAGTGGTGAGTTTGAAGTCATTTGTATGTGCTTATGCCTCTGGTTTCTCTTAACTCCTTCCTTCCAGTATGTACCAGACCAAAGCTGTCATCATTGCAATGATCATCACTGCTGTGGTGTCCATTTCTGTCACCATCTTCTGCTTTCAGACCAAGGTGAGGGAATGGAGGGTTCTTCCCTGGCACCTGCCTCTCTTTATTATGAAACCTGGCCCTTTGGGTTTGGCATTTGAATGGCCTGGGAGGGCCCAGATCCATATAGACCAGGGATTTCCGTTAGAGACCTAATCCCCTTTCCCATATCTACACCTGCACAGCTGCCTCCTGTCTGTCCTTAGCATGACATGGTCATTACTGTGTCTCCAGGAGGCAGAACTGGGACTCTCAGGCAGGGTGGCAGGGTGGCAGGGCGGCAAGGCCAGTCTGGCTGGGCTGCTAGTGACGGCAGTTGTCTGACAGGTACCTCATTCCTCTTCCTGGTAGGTGGACTTCACCTCGTGCACAGGCCTCTTCTGTGTCCTGGGAATTGTGCTGATGGTGACTGGGATTGTCACTAGCATTGTGCTATACTTCAAATATGTGAGTGTCCCATGAGGGCTGATGCCACTGAACCCAGTCCTCACTGCAGACTCCCTGTATAGCAAAATGTAGCAGGGCCCCTCATCTGGGCAGGCTGACCTCAGAACCTTCCAGTGGCTAGCAAAGGCATCCACATACAAGCACCATCCTTTTGGGTTAGGGAATAGTCAGTGTCTCTTTGGAAAGAGCCACAGCACTGGGAGCCCTGGACAGCGCCACTGAGTTCCTATGGGAAGTAGTAGATTAGAGCTGACAGCTGAGACCAGGTTCTGGGAGGCAGACTGGAAGAGGAACCCAGAGGAACAAGATGGACCTGTGTGGAAGGGACTTTGGAGATGTCTGGAGCTGAATCCTTTGACTATAGTCAGCTAAAGGAAAACATGAGGTCCCCAGGCTGATGATCATCTCACCGTGGACTGGCCTTGTCCTTCTGTGGACAGGCACCTACAGGAGAGTGAAGCAGGGCTGCCTTGTGGGTACCCCCTAATTCTGAACCTCATCAGGGTGGTTGCAGGCTAGGGTTTCCCTCCCTCCTAGCCCTTCTTCATTCTGTCCATCCCAGGATGGGCTGTGTGGTCTGTTGAGTGCTGACCAGGACTGGAGGAAAGATGACGGGGCTCTTCAGCTGGTGTGGGCTGGGTCTGTCCCTCCAAAGCTGTCACTCAGCCACTGCTTTTTCTCAGAAGCACAGTGGACACCTCTGCAGATTAGCTCTATGGATTGGTCTGGCTAAAAGATGCTTTGATTGGTTTTATATGGCCATTTTAGGATAGCCTCTGCTCCCTCTGCCAAATATGTCACCGTTTCAGATCTGTTCTAGGACCTAGAAGGGCATGCCCCAGGATCCCAGTGGGCTGGCTTCCTAGTTTTGTCCACTCTGATGCCTGAATCCCAGGGGTTAGCTGGGTCCTGAAGGCCTGCCTCACTGTACTTTGCTCAGATTTCTAACGCCACCCCATCTCCTTCTTCCCAGATTTACTGGCTCCACATGCTCTATGCTGCTTTGGGGGCCATTTGTTTCACCCTGGTAAGTCCCTGCTGTGCTCTGGAAAGCTGAACTGAGGGGATGGAGGACAGGGGACGGCGAGTGAATTTAGGTGGCTTGGAACAGAGCCAGAAGCCATCTTTCCTCACTGTCAAGGGTTCCCCACTATCAAGAGTTCCCGTGATTTTCAGGGCACTCCTGCTGTCTTAGTCACACACCTGCTGTTGGAATGCTAGGCAGGAGATGCAGTGTGCCTGCCTCTGTTTCTGGTGTGGACTGCAGGAGGCAGAGACCACCTGTTAGCCTGTTGGTTACCCTAAGCGTGCTTGCTACGTGGCACACAGGCTCCCAGGACAACTCTGCTGACTAAAAAGGAGCTCTGGGCCTCCGGGTACTCATTGGCGCTCACTTCTGGCTTCCCTGTCCCTGCAGTTTCTGGCTTACGACACACAGTTGGTCCTGGGGAACCGGAAGCACACCATCAGCCCAGAGGACTACATCACGGGTGCCCTGCAGATCTACACAGATATCGTCTACATCTTCACCTTTGTGCTGCAGCTGTTGGGAGATCGCAACTGAGGAGCCCCCCGTTTCACCCTCGCTGGGCTCTCCCTTCCCCAGAGGGCTGGGCCCTGTGACTGGGGTCTGGGCCTCAGACACTTTTTTCTTCCCCTCAAGTAACATATCCAGTTTCCTTTCTGTCCAGGAGATGGGTAACCTCTCTGGCTGTGGAGGTGTGGGAACCTGTGGTGGGCAGTGGGTGCTGGGACAGTTCAGATCTGTTAGTGGGCTTGGCAGGAATGAGGCTGAGGGTGTGTCTTTTGCCCTCTACCCACAATATGGCACCAAACTCTTAGCACTTGGGTGTGTGTGTGTGTGAAAAGAGCCCATTCTATAACTGAGAGGAAATGTGAACACAGAAGGGACTTTAAAGTGCAGGGCTTCCCCTCCCAATCTCTCACGGGCTTCTAGCCTAGGTAGCTGGAGCCTGTTTCCCTCCTAAACCCAGTAAAGCCAGACAGTATTATCCCCACCTCCTGGACTACAGGCCATTATTCTATACTCCTTAGACTTGGTACCTTTTAGCTCAGAATGGTAAAAGAGATCTGTGCCCAGGGGCCTCCGCATTCTAACCCCATCTTGTTTTTATAACATGTATGTATTGTTTATCTAGGTTAGGGCTGGGGGGAAGAAGAGATGAGCAAAGTACAGGGGCTAATACAAAGAGCATCTCCTTTGAGCTCCCTCCAGGCTTGGATGGTGTGAGAGAGCAGACCATTTGGAGCCTTCTGGTCCCCATTCTCCAAAGTTGCCTGGGACTTCCCTGGGTGCTTCTGAGGTCTTTTGCTTTCTCTGCTTAGGCAGGTAGAGCAGAAAGTGAGGGACAAGAGTCAGTAAACAGAGTAGTTTGTATGATCAGGAGTGTGGCATGGAAGTAGCCAGGGTGAGGAGATGGGTGGAGGCTTGGAAAATGCCTTGGGGCCTCCAGAGCCAGTTTGAGAAAAACCACCTCAGTGCCCAAGGAGACTTCAGTGCTCTTCCTTCTGCTAACAGGAAGGGCCCTGAGGGCAAGGTGACTGCCTCTCTCAGCCTGCTCTGAACTCCCACTGGGGGGCTTTTCGACTTGAGACCACCACTCTAGTCAGCCACTGCCTTCTTTGTAATACAAGTGCCTCAAGCTGGAATGGGGGGGGGACAGGGTCAGTCTATCGGGTAGGGGCGGAAACCACATCAGCCCAAGGATATAATTAGGACTTCTTTATTGAGTACTTGATCCTAAATATATCACACAAAGGGACACAATTATAAATGTATTAAAGTTTTGTTTAGAAGTTAAACCCTGTGTGGCTCTGGTTTTCTTCTTTGGAAGGTGTTGGCTCAGGGAGTGTCTGATTCTGCCCAAAGCATCCATTCACTTCCTACCTCTACATCCTGGTTGGGTCTCCAGCACCTTTCCTAAGGTCACAAATATCCTTTATTGCTGCACTTCCTAGGGAGGGATGTGAGAGGCTGGTGAAGGCTCAACAGTTGGCTGGGGGAAAGGGGAACTCAAACTTGCAATAGTGGATTCCAAAAGGACCTCTTGTTACAGGTCCTTTACAAAAGCTCAGGAGAGCAATTAACTCTCTTCCCCACAAAGCTATATGCATATATAAAATCTTGCAGATGAGGGAGGGAATGGACCAAGGTTCAGAACCTCTGTCTTAAAAAGCACTAGTCCAATCTCTTGAGCCCCAGAGAAGTTGAGTCATTTGGACTGGCTAAGGGTAGTGCTTGTTTGCCTCCACACCCTTAATGCTGCCTTTGATTCTCTTTATTATTTGTTTCAAGGCTGAGTGGGACCCCACCCTCCTGGCCCACAGCTCTCAGGGATTCATCCCCAGGGCCTGAGCCTAGGCTTGTGATGATTAAGCCTCTGTGGTGGCCCTGCTACCCAGCCAGGAACAAGCTCTTCTGTGAAAGGGAGCATACCTGAGTAACCAGCCCCACCCTCTTCCCCTCCACTCCCAAGGGACTCAAACCCAAACCTACTTCCTTTCCACTCAATAAATTTATTTGCTTTCGGCTGGCTCCTCGGTGTGGGAGGGGCAGGGACTGGCAGCAGTCTGGCTCCATGCGCCCTCTGGTGGACCTCACAGGCCAATGACCAGAATCAGCCAAACTGCAGGGTTTCAGTCAAAATACAGTCTAGAGGGTTGCTGCAGTGCTCCTCAGGCCTGTACCCCAGAACCAACTTCAGGGGATGGGGCATGTTGGGAGGAGGCCCTGAACCTCTGGCTCTCATACTCGCCCGTGTTGGACGCCCGCATGTTCTGCCGAGCCTTCATCTGCTTCAAACGGTTCTTGTCCACTTCCCGCTTGGTGAGGATGAAGAGTAGGATACCACAGGGGAAGCCGATGGCCCTAAGGGTAGGGAGATGTGCACGGGGTTTGGGCAGGGGCCAGGCCTGAGCCAGAGCTGGGGGGTATGGGGGGATCATTCCAGCTTTTCAATTGCACGAATGCTGCAATGCCTCTTGTGTCTACTTGTCCCCTCTGCTGGCTGCTAGAGGGACCCACATAAATCAGATCCTGTTGCTGCCCTGCTTAAGACCCCATAACAACTTTCCATCACTTCCTGGATAAGTCCAGACTCCTGGGCATGGCAGAAAACACCCAGCTCTTCACTCCTTTCCCCTGTGGCACAACACTCATAAGCATGAACCCTGCACTCCTGCTTCAGGGCCTGTGCATGATTCTCTAGGCAGACCAGCCTCTTTCTCTGAGTCCTAGCAAGTTTCTCTCTACTTAAACTCCACAACTCCTCCCAGGCTTCCTCTCTCTGGTTACTCTACTACTGAGGTACGACTCCAGCCCCTCCCTTTCCTTCTCTGAGTAACTGCGACTAGGGGGCGCCTTGGTGTGGGGGAAAGAGCATGGAGTCACAAGACCTGGTGAGAATTCCAGCTCTGAGCCTCAGTTCCTTCCTCTGTGAAATGGGAGTGTAATATTTATCTCAGAAAAACAAAAACATTACATGGTAAAGTACTATTAAACCTCAAGAGGTGAAAAAGTGTTAATTTCCCCTATTTTTCTTTTGATTGATAGTATGACCTAAGATCAGAATCACAGCCAAATAACATACAGAACAACTTGTAGTTACTATACAAATAATACATGATTTCAACTAATTACTAGGATTTGGGTCTTTCCCCAAGCTCCCAAAAGGGAGGATGAGGCTAGGGACCCAAGTTCAAATCATCTCAGCTCAGCTAACGCCACAGAAAACCCACTGTCTCCACAATTCCACATACTTTCCCACCTCTCCTGACCCACTCCTCTGAGATTCCATTCTTGGAACCCAACAATTCTGTTCCTATAACCTTGGATTCAGCTCGCCACTTGAAACTTAAGTTATTTCTGGATCCTACCCTCCCCTGGATGCACTCCCCATGGGTGGGCAAAGAGGTAGTTAACACTCACCAGGCTAGTCCCACAGCTTTCATGGGGTTCTTGCCCCTCTTTCTGGGAATGTATTCCAGCTCAGGGGAGAGGGGCTCAGGCTCCTCCTTGCACTCTGGGGAGCTGTGGCTCTGCAGTGCTCTGGTTCTGTTCTGAGAAGCCTTGTTAGCAGTGGCTCCTGAGAGGATTCCTGTGGATGGAGGTAAGGAAGGTCAGCACAGGGATGAGGAGGGAGCTCTGGGAAGGTGGGTACAGGGTGGGAAGGGCCGGTTGAGATCTGAGCTTGGAGTAACAAGTGCTAGGGAGAATCCGAAAGGAAATAGGAAAACTGCCACTGAGGTGGCATCTTTGGAAGCCACTTTCACGTCACTGCGGGTTCATCACCCTGGTGCCAGGAGAGCGAGCTTCACTATTCTTCATTTCCGACGACAGGATAGGAAGGACTGCAAAGGGACTCACAGGATTAAAACTGAAGAATGTTAGCCCTGGAAGGAAGATAGTCTACTCCATCCCCTCATTTTAGAGAAGAGGAAACTGAAGCTCTGAGAGACAACAACTGCTTCACCCAAGGTCAAACTGCTAATTACCCAGGTTTAGAACCCAAGCCTTCAGAAGCCCAGGGCTCTTTCCTCTGCACTGCGGTGAGTGTGAAACACCTGGAGCGCGGGAGTCTAAAACATTCTTCGGGGGTCCTTCTTGCAGCCAGACCCCAGAGGTGTTGTGTAACCCGAAGGCAGGGGCATGGACTGAGTGACCTCTATAGAGCATCTTTTCACCCCAGACTCTAAGATCCTAGAGTGGTGTGGGCAGAATTGGCTGCTCCGACCGCCTGCTATAGCCAGGTGGGATGTGAAAGAAGAGAAATCTCCTGCAGTCTTGACCTCCCCGGGGCCCCTCTCCTTACCCCGGAGGACACGGGCATTTCTCGCCCCCCGGCCCTTCAGCGCCGTAGCAGCTACCACCGCCGCCATGTTCAGATCCCACCCCCCTCCACCGCGCTCTCCGCCGGGAATTGTAGTTTGCGTAAGGGGCCTCCCCCGCTCCTTCCGTCCTGCATACAGATCAGAAACTACATCTCCCAGAAGCCCGCAGAGCGGACTCCAGCGAACTACTCTTCCCAGGAGACCCCGGAGGCGCGCACGCTCGCTTGTTTCCCTCCTGTTGGGGGCGGAGTCAGGCCGGGCGGAGTTTGGGTTCTCCCCGCCACGCCTCAGTCCCTTTTCCAACTCTGCCTTGTGATTGGTGGTTCAACCAGTCAGCCCCCGTTGCTATTGGCCAGGCCGCCTTCGCTCTTCCTGCCCGGGAGTCTCCTACGCCTACTTCCTCCCGGGAGGAGGGGCTCGAGTTCCGCGTCGCCGCGCAGAGCTGACTCTGGGAGGCGTTTGGGCCCAGAGAAGTGGATCGGCCGCCTGCGCCGCATGGAGTCCGAATCAGAAAGCGGGGCCGCCGCTGACACCCCCCCGCTGGAGACCCTAAGCTTCCATGGTGATGAAGAGATTATCGAGGTGGTAGAACTAGATCCTGGCCCGCCGGACCCGGGTGAGAACTGCCTGTGCTCAGGCCATGGGACAGGAGGCGCTAACCCCTGGCCTCTGACCCTTGCTTCTCCCCGCTCCCCTCTTCACCCTACCGGTCATTCCTACCGACATTCCTCTCCCTGTCCCTTTCCCTGCCCCCACACTTAGTTGTCAGGCCTGGCGGGGTGGGGGTTCCCTGACGCCTCCCCTAGCCCTTCCCCTCACACACCCCCTTCCCATCATGCCCTCGGTCCTCTCTTCCCACACGGTTGCCGGCCAACCCCGGGTCCTCAGACCTTGCCTCGTATGCTCCGCCTCACACGCCCCCTCCTCCTGCCCCTTAGCCCCCGCTACACCCCAGCGGTCTGACTTCACCCTACCCCGTGGCCACATGACCTACCCCAGCCTCGGCCTTCTCATGCTTATTCCCATCCCTCTTAACGCCTCCTGAGCCTCATCTTTTAACACTCTCCCCAAAACAGATGATCTGGCCCAAGAGATGGAAGATGTGGACTTTGAGGAGGAAGAAGAAGAGGAAGAGGGCAACGAGGAGGGCTGGGTCCTGGAACCCCAGGAAGGAGTGGTCAGCAGTATGGAGGGCCCCGATGATRGTGAGGTCACCTTTGCCTTGCACTCAGGTAGGCCTCTGAGGAGATCCTCTTTAAATTAGTCCAGGTGGGCATTTGAGCATTGCACATTTGCTGCCTACAGAGCGTTATGAAAGACAAGTTGGGAAAGCTGTTGGCCTTGTCCTGCAGGAGTTCACAGGTAGGGATCAGAGAGAAGAATGGCACTGGAGTCAATTGAGTCACCTGGGTTTAAGTCCTTCCTCTCCTTTTTACCAATTTGTCACCTTCAATAACTTCTCTGGCCTTATGTTTTCTCTTAAAAAGTTAGCCTTTGGTGGAAGTTAATGAATGTAACCTGAATGGAAATTAGAGGTAATTTATGCTGAAAAATGTATCTTTTTGAGCACATTTTATATAATTTGTTCAATAACAGCTCAACTAAGAAGCTAATAACACGATGCTGTCTTCACTGTATTCATACCCAGCCTGGTGGCATCCCATGCTGAGAATTGTAAGCCCTGTACTGTCCACAGTTTCAGTGGGGGGTGGTGAGGGGAATAGAACAGTATGAATCTGCCCTGGAGAAGGACTTGGAGCTCAGCAGGTTGGGGAAGGATTTCTCTAACAACTTACTGCTTACAACTTAGAAGAATTTGAATGCACCTTTTTTTTTTCCAGGAGAGAAGACATATTGCTTTGGGTGAAAGAGGGTGGGCTTCCTAAAGGTTCTAAAGGACAGAACTCTAGGTGGGAGCCCCATCCCCTCACCTGTGGATTATCTTTTGGGACAGCATCCGTGTTTTGTGTGAGCCTGGATCCCAAGACTAACACCTTGGCAGTGACAGGGGGTGAAGATGACAAAGCCTTTGTCTGGAGGCTCAGTGATGGGGAGCTACTCTTTGAGTGTGCAGGTGAGGGGGCTGGAGTGGAGGCCTGGGGGAGGTCGTGTTCCTTTGGAGATCTTTTGGGGGTGATCTGCAGTGGTTGAGCATCTAAGAGCCATCTGTTGACCTTTGTTTTGTATCAGCTCTGGGCTGGGTCCCAGGAACACAAAGAAGAATAACAACATAGTCTGTTGTAGGCTTAGGGGCAGGAGATGCTAATTGGCCAACAGAGTTTAGGAAAGGCCTGAGAGGAAGTAACACTGGCATAGGAGTAAGTGGGAAAAGGATGTGGGGATTTCAGGCAGATGTGTAGAGGGAACAGAGGGACAAGGCAAAGGAAGCTCAGGCTCCACTTGGTTGAGAGGGACCAGCGATATCTCTACTGGAGAGACCTGGAGGTGTTAGTTCCTAGAGCTGCAGTGTTTGGCCACTTGTTTTGGTGGAGACTGCCTGCTTTTTTCCCTAGTAGGTCATTCAGGGGGCAAGGGATCTGGGTCATGTGTCCCCAGCACTTAAGTACCCTAAATTTTCTTCTTTTCCTGCCCACTTTTCTTGGCAGGCCATAAAGACTCTGTGACTTGTGCTGGTTTCAGCCAWGACTCTACCTTAGTGGCCACAGGGGACATGAGTGGTCTGTTGAAAGTGTGGCAGGTGGACACAAAGGAGGAGGTCTGGTCCTTCGAAGCAGGAGATCTGGAGGTAATTTCTTCAGAGTGGGATCCAACTCTGTGGAACCACAGGTTGGGACAAGAGATTTGGGGGCCTGTCTTACCTCCAGTGGACAAGCCTGCTCTGAGCCAGTGTACCCAAAGTTATAGCAAATATACCTGTTGACTTGAAAGTTCCCACCGACCCCAGAAGCAGGAAAACTTTCAGTGGGACTTAAGGGACAGGTTCCTTAGGTGGGCTGGTATAATGGGCCTCCCTGCTGATCCTTCTTTCTGCCTAGTGGATGGAGTGGCATCCTCGGGCACCTGTCCTACTGGCAGGCACAGCTGATGGCAACACCTGGATGTGGAAGGTCCCGAATGGTGACTGCAAGACCTTCCAGGGTCCCAACTGCCCAGCCACCTGTGGTCGTGTCCTCCCTGACGGTGAGAGTACTGCCTTGCGTGTTCTCCTGGGTGTAGAGGGGGATCCCAGGTTATGCCCTTCCCTGAGCTCCCTCTGGGCCCCAGCTCTGCCCTTTCTCGTCTCCTCCTCCACCCCCTTGCTTAGTGTGTGAATGTGCCCTCTATTCTCTTTTCATTGGTGCGTCTGATCCTTTAGGAAAGAGAGCTGTGGTAGGCTATGAAGATGGCACCATTAGGATTTGGGACCTGAAACAGGGAAACCCCATCCATGTATTAAAAGGTACCAGAGGTGGGGGAAGTGTTAAACTGGGCCTTCATGGGAGAAGGCTGAGAATCAGGGCAGGACTGAGCCTATCTTCTTCCTAGGGACTGAGGGTCACCAGGGCCCTTTGACCTGTGTTGCTGCCAACCAGGATGGCAGCCTGATCCTGACTGGCTCTGTGGACTGCCAGGCCAAACTGGTCAGTGCCACCACTGGCAAGGTGAGCGGACCTGGAGCCTGGCTGGGGGCCTCTTGTTTTCCCAAGTCTTCTGCCTTTCCTTTCTTGTTCCTCACTCTGCTGCTGTCTGTTGGGGACTGAGGGTCCAGGCCTCCTCTGATCATCTCCTCTGGCTGATAGGTGGTGGGTGTTTTCAGACCTGAGACTGTGGCCTCCCAGCCCAACCTGGGAGAAGGGGAGGAGAGCGAATCCAATTCAGTGGAGTCCTTGGGCTTCTGCAGTGTGTGAGTGTGAGCCTGAGCCTTGGCCTGGAGATGAGAGGGACTGGGGGAGAATCCTGTGGGGGGCTGGGCAGGGGGACTAGGGAGGAGAGTGGGTATGAGTCCAGGGTCTCACAAGCTTCCTGGTGCTCCACTGCCCAGGATGCCGCTGGCAGCTGTTGGTTACCTGGATGGAACCTTGGCTATCTATGACCTGTCTACCCAGACCCTCAGGCACCAGTGTCAGCACCAGGTAGGGTAGTTGGAGCTGGGTTGCTGGTGGGCTGTGGTCATGGTCACAGAGAAGCCCTGGCCTCTGGGAGCGCCACCCCAAACCTGGCTCCTACCCTCTCCTTCACTGTGAACCTCCCTCACTGAGAGTTGAGAACAGATGTCTTTCTTCTCCCATCCCCGGTATCTGACACATCTGCCACCTTGCTCTGTGTCCTGGGGCAGTCGGGCATCGTGCAGCTGCTATGGGAGGCAGGCACGGCTGTGGTGTACACCTGCAGCCTGGATGGTGTCGTGCGCCTCTGGGATGCCCGGACAGGCCGCCTGCTGACTGACTACCGGGGCCACACGGCTGAGATCCTGGACTTTGCCCTCAGCAAGTACGTGAAGTGGGAAAGGGCTGGGACCACTGTATTTGGAAAGTGGCACTAGCATGGGGTCTTGGGGTATGGAAGGGATTTCCAAGAGGGGGGCATTGAGACCCAAGGCTTGGTTGCAGCCTGTGAGGCAGCAGTATTGGGAAGCCTGAGGGTTTCCAGCCCTGGGAGTCATCTTTTAACAAGTCTTAGGCCAGTGGTCGGCAGTGATCTGCCTGGGTGTCGCCTCTTGGTCATGAGTGTAGAGGCCGAGACTGATGCTCCATCCCCCTCAGCTCTGTGCTCCCATGCCAGGGGGACTGCCTCTCCTGCCGCTCTGCTATTTGCATGGAGGGTTGATGGTCAGCGTGGCACTAGTTATTAGGGACCCAGAATCAGAGTGTGCTGCTGGAGCCTGACCCAGGGCCTTAGTCCCTTCAACCCTGTGCTTTCTGTTCACAGAGATGCCTCCCTGGTGGTGACCACGTCAGGAGATCACAAAGCGAAAGTATTTTGTGTCCAGAGACCTGACCGTTAATGGCTGTGGCCTCTGACTTGGTGTCTGGTGTTGAGGGGGATGAAGGGAGACCCCCCCTCGCCCTGTGAGGCGCAGGGTACAGAGGGAAAAGGAGGGGGGGCTCGATTGCTTCCCAACCCCTTTAACTGACCTGCCTCCCTCTGTCCTTTTCTTCTCCTTGAGACTCCACCCTTGGGCCCCCTCCCTTCTCCTCACCCAGACCTAGGGRCCCTTCAGCGGGAGGGACAGGCCTCTTTCTCT